ATATATATATATATATATATATAATTTAGATTTTATTAATTTTTTTTTTACTGCGTGAGACAATTTTTTTTTACTTCATTTTAGGTTCTGGTAAGTTTTAAGCTTAAAAGATGAATATATATATATATATATATATATATATATATATAATATAGATAAATAAAAAGTTAACTATTATTATAATAATTATTAAAATAAAATAATATTATTAAATTTATACTAAAATAATTATATATTTTAAAAAAATTAAATTTTATTATACTGTAGTTATATTTCAAGTGGTAATTATTTTTATAACTTAATAAAATTAACTATAATTGTAAAAATTAAAACATAAAAGTACTTATATAAGTAAATAATTATAAAATATAATATTGTTTATATATAAGAGAGAGAATTCAGAAAAAGGTGAGAAGAGAAGAAAGATGAAAGCTTTTATATTAAACTAGATAATAGTTCAAATAAAAATATTTCGAATAAGGCAAAACAGAGATAAATAGAGATATTTTCTGGAGATTAACTTTTTAATCTATATAAAATGATATATAAAATAATTTATATTATTAAATTAAACTATATTTAATATGAGAATCAAATTTTAGACATTTTATATTTTTAAATTAATAATAAATAGTTATAGTTATTAATTTAATTTTAATAATATGACCAATAATATTTCATTAATTTTTTATAAAATTTTTATTATAATTATTTACTAATTTTAATTATATAGATTTATAATTTAACTTTTTTAAATGCTGTAATATTATTCAATATTAATTTGTTTGTTTGTCATTATTAAAAAAAAAACAAATTGAACTAATTCTTTTATGCTCTGTTAGCTTTGAGGTGATACACTGTAGAGAATGGTTTGCGCGGATATTTAATTTTATGTTCGCTTTCATGGATTAGCCTGGATTTGTGCAGATGGATTTGGAGGATATAAAAAAATTTCATAGAAGAGATTTGGAGGTGATTATAATAAAAAGTCATTTTTATCCTTGGTATGAAATAGTTTTTGCAGGTAGGTGCATGCATTGCTGTAATAAAAATATCATTCTTATGAGATTTGAGTAGTTTTAATAATAATATATAATAATAATAATAATAATAAAACTAATAATAATAATTATTATAATAATATTATTATTATTATTTCAATTTACTAAATTATAATTTCTTTTTACATTTTAAAAAATATTTTTTTTTATAAATATTTTTACAATTATATATAACATTAATAATTATCATCTTATATTACTTTTACTATTAAGGGTATTTTGATAATCTTTAATTTTTACCAATTAAACAAATTTTTTTTATCACATGAATCAAATCCTACAATAATTCTCACAAACTTTAATTCTAAATCCACTCTCATTTACCTTCAAATCCACTCAAACAAACAACAATTAATTTACCCTCAAATCCTCTCAAATCCATCTACTCACTCTCTCTCAATTCCTCTCCCCCAAGTGAACACACCACGGATGAGATAGAGAAGAGAAGAGATTGCAGACATAACTACTAAGTGAAATAATGTGCTTCCTTTGAGTTTAAAATAATACACTACAATACAGTTTAAAAGAAAAAAAAATAGTTTAATTCAGTTTAATTGAACTAATTAGTTTAGTTCAATTTAAACAAATTAATTTTTGGTTTAATATAATTTTTAAGAATACTCTCTAGTACAGTTCATTTTGCCTACCTCTAATTTTATCCACTAATTTATATTTCTATTTTATCTTTTAACTGTTGATTCATTTTCTTTGTGTTTCATGCTAAATGATTGAAGAGGAAATTTACTTCACGAGTAAATTTACTTCACGAGTAAATTTGATAAATTTATCTAAAGGAAACCTTACAAATTAAATTTTAGAAATATGAACTTATTCTTCCTATAAAACCATCAATATATCCTAAAATTTAATTTTTTTATTTAAGAATTATACAAAATGAACAGTACGAAATTAGAAGTAAAAATCACTTAAGCCTGGAAAGTATAGTCTTAAATTGAAATAAAAACATGAACTATTAAAATAAGAAAAATAAAAATGAAAAGTAATGTGAGAGAAGATGTTAAGCCTTAATAACAGGTAATAAAAATTACATTAATTTAGAAAGAACAACCTAGGCGAAGAAGAGGTATTGTGCTTGTGGCGTGTGGTGTGGCCCTGCAATTGCAAGCTTTTAAGGAGAATTGAGAGAGCTAAAAGCAAAAACAAATGGTGATGAAGAAGATGAGGCTATTACTGCTGCTAAAGCCCTTCAGTGTATCTTCACCACCTCCCCACACCCCCCCTCAGGTAACATTGCCTCCACCCACCATCTTCCCTTTTCGTTTCATCACCTCTTTCACATGTTTGTATAATTCCCCGTGATGGTTTTGTTTGCTTGTTTGAAGATTCATTTAGGAAACAATAGGTGAAGGGTTTGTTACACACTTTCCAATATGCACGCATACTGCTTGATGAAATGTTAATTTGGGGTTTGTTTGTTTGTGCTTGGTTGGAAACTTGTATTCTAAAATGGGTAGATGGGAAATAAAAAAGGTCCTACATTTTTTCCTACATTCCTGCTACAATGCCATTTCCCTGCTGCCCACTTTCATTTTAACCTAGAAAAAGCTTTAGTTGAATGACCAACGCTTCTTTATACGTCCTTCATCTTGTAGGTAAAGTATTGGTGGTAATTTAATTTCTTATCAATGAATTAGAACAATAAAAATAGCTGTTTTTGTGTGTGAAATGTATTAGGTGCGAGCTTTTGTCAGAAGAGTTAATTTTGACCATTTAATAATAAGATTCTTCTTATTGAGAAAAACTAGAACTACAAACGTAGAATATAAGTTCATATTTTGATCATGTAAGCATTAGCTTTTAATCTTAACTATTCTTGTATGGCTCTATGACCCAGATTTATAGTCCACCTTTTTTACAATGACAAGAGTTCTCACCTCGTACACCGTTCACCCTATATAATGAAGAAGGGATAAGATACCAATAAGCCGTGCTTTCATTACTGACGAAGTATCTAATAACTCAGCCCTTATATATATATATGTGTGTGTGTGTTTGATGGTATGATACACAAATAGGTGACATGTATCAGATATGATATGTGTTTGTCGTGGTTATTTTGGAAATAACAGGATGTATACATAATTTAAAACGTATAACAATTCATAAAACATAATAAATATATAATTTCAATTATGTGGCCCAAACATGACATTTCTTAGATATTGCCAAAATAAAAAATTATAAATTATTGTCATCATGAAAGTGCTTCAAAGATTGAGTTTTTCATCGATAAGCATATTAGAGTATTGGATATAGATAAGTTATTGAAGTGTAATGCAAATTCTAGAAGACTATAGAAAAGCCTAAGATAGAAGTATTAAAATGTAATAAAAGTTCTGGAATATTGTAGAAAAGCCTTAGATAAGAAGAAAAAAATCAAGAACATTTTACATAGGTAAAAATCTAGGACATTTCACATATGTTTTGCCTAGCATGTTCTAGAATAATCTACGGGTCTATAAATACCCATGTTCTCTACCATTTGAGGTAAGACAACATCTATAACAACTAAGACAACTAAAACACTTCTTCCAACTACTACTTTCACATTTTACTATCTCCACATTTTCTCTACATTTCACTATCTTTACATATTCTCTACCCGATCAATTATTCCTTTCACAACCTCAAAATACTAACATAAGTATTATTTGATACGTTAAACAAATCAAATTGCAATATTGGTGCATTTGATATGATGTCTTACTACATCCTTATTTAATATGGAGTGCTTTGAGGATTTTTGCCATATATTTTTGACATGGTATTTTTGGCATGATTGAGATGTTTATAGAGCAATTTAAAATTTGAATTGTTAGGAAAATTGCAGATTATACAGTTCTTGGAGAATAGGCGTAAGGTACACCATGATGCAATAAACTTTTGTCAAGCTATTTTGCGAAAAAAGTCAGTTGAATGGAAAGCTGTACTGCGTAACAACTTGTTGCCAGCCATCAATGATGTGGATCTAGTTGTCACAATTGGTGGTGATGGAACTCTTCTACATGCTAGCCATTCATTGGATGACAAAATTCCTGTTCTTGGAGTGAATTCTGACCCTACACGTATTGATGAGGTATATATAAATATAGTTTTGGCTTTGCTATTGATATAGCGTCTATGTATATATATTTCATTTGATCATCCTTTGATTATGAAAATAAAGAAACTAGGTTATTTAATCAAATTCCATTTGCAATAGGTGGAGCAATGCAGTAGTGAATTTGATGCTAACAGAAGCACAGGCCATCTTTGTGCTGCTAGTGTTGAAAACTTTGAACAAGTAAGCTTAGCTCTTGTCTACCCATATAGGAAAGATTATCAAGTAAGCTTGCTACTCCTTGAGGTTTAGCAGGAAGCATGTGTAGAATGAAGTTTTATAATTCAGTAACTTGAAATATTCAATTTTTTTTTGACATTGTTGTTAATTATCACAATCATGAACCAATAATTACTCCTTTGAAACCATTTTAATCATTATACTCTGACGTGACTAACCAGCTCAAAGCTGGTTTAGCATTGAGTAGAGATAGGATTGATTTGGGATTCAAAATGTACCTCTAATCAATTGTGAGACTTGAGAATTAAACTTTAAAATAATTCTAGAGGGCTTAATTGATCCCTCTCACAATCTTCTATTTATAAGAATAAATTGATACAAAAGTACATGATAAATAGGGTAACCCTAGACACAATATAATCATGATAAATAGGGTAATCCTAGACACAATATAATCATGATAAATAGGGTAATCCTAGACACAATATAATCATGATAAATTAGGATAAATATCCTAACAGTGAGAAATGAGACAAGCTTGCGGTGATGTCTGTTCAACGTCTATTCCCTCCTTTGTAAGTACAGTTTGGTGCAGCTTTCAATTTTATGACAAAACCTGTAATTTTGTTACCATTGTAGTCCATAAGTTGATGAGCTGAAAGCCTGCAGCACAAGTGGCAAATATCTTTTGAAAGGGAGTCCATTCATAGAAAAAAAAGTTCCTAAATATCTAATTTCTCTATCTTAAGCATAACAATTTGTTGTTTCCTTTCCCATATTAAAGTTTTGGTATATCACCAATTTAGTTATTGAACGTGTGACGCATTGCAAATTTAATCTTTGGAAAAAGGAAAAAAATCTAATTTAGTCCCCGAATGTGTAAATTATCTTCTACTTTTAAGTTGTGAGAATATTGTCATTAAAATATAATTTTGAGGATAAATTTGATACTAAATCATAAATTGTTTTATTATTAAATTATAATATTGAGAGACCAATTTGTATATTTTACACATTTAGAGATTAAACTTTTATATTCTTTCAAGAACTAATTTGTCAACGTCTTATATTCAAGGATGAAATTGGTCATTTAACCTAAAGTTTTCTTGTTAATAATGTTACTCTATATTTTTTGACTTCAACTTTTGGATAAATGTTCAGCTTCAAATGCTTATTTCTTGTAAAAAAAAATGGGACAAATTAAGGGATATTCTCTCGACTTGTAATCTAAGCTAAAGATTCTTCGTCTTGTATAGGCAATTGAAAGGTGAAAAAGTGGGACAAAGTGTAATATACATATTAGGAATTAGAAATGATTTTCTTCTTTAAATTTTGTTGGTTTCAATATAATATTTCATCTATCCAGTTTTTAAAATCTTTTTCAGGTTTTAGATGCTATACTTGAAGGTCAATTTCTTCCTTCCGAATTAAGAAGGACCATGATATCTGTTAACGCACTGCACTTGTCAACTTATGCTCTCAATGATATCTTAGTTGCACATCCATGTCCTGCCTCGGTTTCCAGGTTCTCATTCAGGTACATGATCATTCCAGTGAGAAATTAAAACTCAACTCACATTTTCTTAATTTTGTCTCAGAGGTTTTATTCTCTGTAATGAAGCCAACTAAGCATATATTTTTGTAGAATCAAAGAGGGTAACAAACCATGTTCCCCTCTCGTTAACTGTAGATCAAGTGGTCTACGTGTTTCAACCGCTGCTGGTTCAACTGCTGCAATGCATTCAGCAGGTGGATTTCCAATGCCAATTTTATCTCGGGATCTCCAGTACATGATAAGGGAGCCTATTTCAACCGAGGAAGCCTCAGATCTTATGCGTGGATTGATCAAAGATGATCAAACATTAGTTGCTACATGGACCTGTAGAAAAGGAGTGATATATATTGATGGTTCTCATATCTATCATACCATCCAAGATGGGGATATCATTGCGATATCTTCCAATGCACCAGTTCTGAAAGTTCTATTGCCTCGTCATCTGTTATAGTTAGAGAAGGCGACAACTAAATTTCACGGCATATCCTCATCCGGAGACTAAGCAAATTTTGTTGGAGTATTAGTGCTTTTAATGAAAAATATAGGCCACATGAGCTGACATAAGCTTGTAATGTTCCCATTCGTTAGTAAGGGTTGGGCCACAAATGCAATTCGAAATCTCATGCATTGATATCGTGGCCATAAATTTGAAGCTGACTTGACTTTAGATTTAGGAAGTTAAAACACAAAAAATTTTCAAATTACGAAAATAGGCAAGTTGTGGGGTCCATACGACTTCAAATGAAGAAGTCGTGCTTTCCTGCATGAATTCGCCGTCGTGCTTTCCTGCATGAATTCGCCCTGACATCGTGGTCAGAGGTGAAGTCGTGCACCCTAAAAACGACTTTAAGGCATGGTAATTGATTACAAATCAATTACCGTGTGTTGTAATCGATTACCACGTCTTTTTTCATAAAAAAAAAAAATTGAAGTCGTAAGAGGGTTGACTACTTTGCACCCTCCACACATCTTTACTTTTTAAAATTTTTAATTTCTTTTATTAATTAAAATCCTTTATAATTTGTAAAAGATGTTTTTAAATGTATTTAAAATAATTAAAATTATATCTAATTAACAACTAAAGTTTTTTAATATTATTATATAAATAAATTTCACAATTTTAATTATTTTTGTAATTAAACTAAATTTCTTACAAATAATTTCAATTAAATAATTTATAACTATAATTATTGTAATTATCTAATTAAAAATTCAAAAAAAACAAATTTTCTATTTTTTTGAATTTTTTTATTATAGTATATTTTTTTACAAAATATAATTAATTAATAACAATTTTTTTCATTATAAACTATTTAAATTAATAAAAATATTAAGTATAAACTATTTAAATTAATTAAAAAACAAAATAATTAAAATTGTAGGGGTTGACGACTTCTTTTCTTGAAGTCGTGCACCCTCCACACACTTTCACTTTTTCAATTTTTTTATTTAAAATAATTTATAAATAATGTATTTAAATGTATATAAAGTTTTAAAATTATATATAATTAATAGTTAAAGTTTTTTAATATTATTAAATAAATAAATTTAATGATTTAAATTATTTTTGTAATTAAATTAATTTTTTATAAAATGATTTTAGTTTAAATGTTTACTTCATTCTCGGATTTTTATTTAGTACTCAGTTTTAAAAATGTAGACATTTGGTTCCTACGTTTTCAAATTTGTATCAATTCAGTCCTATTCGCTAAGTTGGTAAAAACAACATTAACTTCCCGCTTACATAGCTGCATTTTTTACTTATGCTCTTCCTGCCACCATTAAAGAACATAAAAGGTGCTTCAATTCCTTATAATGCAAAAGAAATAAAAAATCTTTATTTTAATTTTGAATGAATCACTTTCATTCATATTCCATGTAAATTTTAAATTCCATAATTGTAACATCCCAAATTTTCACGCTTGAAAATTCATAATTTATGTATTGCAGCATTACATTTACGGTAACATCCCGTAATCTCACACTTAGAAATTCATAGTTGATATATGTCTATACATGTTTTAAACTCAGATTTCAACTATAAACTCATAAATATAACTCGAATTCTTGTAACTTATTCTTTGATCTCTTTCTTCATTGGTACTGGATCAGACGACATTCCTTCATATACTCCCGTATAACGAATTATACGATCATCGTACATACCCAAACACAAACAAGTAGGGTGAGCTAACATGCAACAAATCATTTATAAAACATGCATAATTGCTTTGATACTAACATCATATAATAATTATGTCATACACCCTCATACCATCATACCACAATTCCTATTAGACAGTCGTCCCACAATACCCAATAAACACCATAATACCCAATAGACACTCATCCATATGATACGTTGATGAGCGGTCACGGGAGGTTATGCACTTGTAATGACTTCTACTTCTTCTTACAAATACACTTCCAAAATTCTTCATACCATTCACAAGGTTAGTCCCCTCACTATGTCCAAAACCGGCACATAGACCAGGACCTCCTGCTCCTCTCACCACATAATTCATCCTTCTCTACTTGAAATTGGATGATTATTAGAGTATCAGGATAACCTCCAACTACGGGACCCTCAACATCAACATATACATAAATACCATAACATTATTGAATCTCTCCACGAGACTCATACCATACTCATATTCCTCAACTCACATTATACCCTTACAAAATCTCCCTATAATACTCATATCATGTTCAGACGCATAAATTCAATTGCCATATAATAAAATGCAATCATCACAATTATAATTCATAATTCCATATCTACCACAATAACATGAATTCATCAGACATTTCCATTCCAACCAGATATATTGCACAATAATTTAACAGTACAAAATCTGTTCAATAGGATTTAAGTTAAAAACTTGTCGAGTAGACTTCCAGGAAAGAGAGGTGCGTCACAGTGGACAACTCAAGTACCAAGTCTTTCCTTAGCCAAAGTGTTCCTCAACTAGTTTTTAACAAATTTCTTATTTACAGATTCAAAACAAAAGCATATAATATTAACACAGAAATTCAATATAGATAGATATACAATAAGCATTAACAATATTCACACAGAATTTCAAGACATGAATAGTAATAAAGCAATATTAACTCATAATATAACAGTTTAGAAGGGTTAGCTCCCCTACCTCTATTCCAGACTCCTCTTGCTCTGAATTTATTTCCCCGAAACCCTTCAGAACCTCTACTCTTCTTGCAACTAAAAATTTCTCCCTAACTCTTTCTTCTCTATTTCTCAAGCTCTCACTTGATTCCTCTTCTCTTGGTGCAGAATACCCTTCCCTCCCATGGCTATTTATAGGTAAAAAAAATTTACAATTCATTAATTTTTTAATATTATTTATTATTTTATTATTATTTAAAAATAATATTTTAATCATCCACTTGATCAAATCTGATCCTAATTCCTTCCATGCTAAGGAATTCTTATCCTAATTCCTTCCATGCTAAGGAATTCTTATTTTTTTTTTCGCTATTCACTATTCACTTTTTACTATTCAGTATTCACTTTTTACTATTCAATTTTCTAAAAAAAATCCTAAATAAGTTATCAAAAATTTGAACCTCTCCTTCTAGAATCACTATAATTTTATATCCAAAATTTACATTTTTTTCTATCAATTAAAATTATTATTACTAATAAAATGCTAAAATTTACTATTATAAATATTTTTCATGAGTCTTACAAATTAAACTATCAAAATTTCTTATTAATTTTTTCATTCACAAAGAAATTTATTACTACTAGTAATAAAATTACTACTACTAAAGTAAATATTTTTCATGGGTCTTACAATAATCACTTTCATCGTATTCAATCTAGTATAACTGATCAAATGAATGAATCATATTATTTCAGTTTTCTCTCACTTATTTAACGGTATTATTTAGGATTATCAAAATTTTAAGATTGAAATAATAGTTGACTGTACTATTAATAGTTGTATGATAGTACACTATTCAATCAACATTTAATTTTAGAGTAGTGTATAATATTACAAATTCAAATATTAACAATAATAAATTTCGAATATATATATATATATATATATATATATATATATATATATATATATATATATATATATTGTAACTGTATATGCTAATTTGTGTTTTACAGTTTAATTTATAAAATAAAATCATCTCACCTTTTAGAAAGATAATCAAGATTTTATAGTTTTATTTTTCTTATAGTTGAAATTTGCAGTGTTATATCTTGAAAGTAAAATCGAACATTCAGATTATCTTAATTAATGACAAATTTTTTAAATATTTAATAGAAAAAGAAAAAATAATAGTAGGTCGTATTAATTGATTATAAAATCAAACTTTATTGACTGAATTAAAAAATGTAAAATATTTAAAATTTAAGTACTCACCCAAATAAAAATACATAATAAAAAATATTTAACTTTATAAATACTAACTAAATATATTATTAAGGCTCTAAGAAAATAATTGTGTTTAATCTCTTGTCAAAATTAAAATAAAGAGTTTAAAAAATAAAGATTTACTATTTCTTTTGCACTATGAGGAATTGAAGCACTTTTTTTGTTCTTTAATGGTGCAATTTATGGTACTTAATGGTGGTAGGAAGAGCATAAGTTAATGGTGGAAGAGAGAAAAAAAGGTGGCAGATAGTTAATGGTGAGAGAAATAAAAGAGAGAGAAAAAGGTGACAGGAAGAGAGCAGAGAAGAGAGAAAAAAGTGCAGTCACGTAAGCGTGAAGTTAATGCCGTTTCTAAAACTGGGTACTAAACAGAAATTCACCTCTTAACATGGGGACGAAGTAAGCATTTAAGTTTTTAATAACTAATTTAGTCTCTAGTTTCGTTGACAAATCTCAATTTAGTCATTCGTTATAAAAATGTTATAAAAATGTTATAAAAATGTTTGAAATTGGTCCTCACTTTTAAAATTTTGAGTCAAAGTAGTCCTTTCAGTTAAATATAACCAAACAGAGTTAATAGGGTGATGATTTGGCAATAATTAATGGTTACGTGTCAAAATATACTTCCGTGCATGCTAACGTGTTAGTTAATTAGAGAAGATAGGGTTTTATTAAGAAATTGAGTTTTTTTATTTGGAAAAAAATTGATTTAGGATTGATTTATGCATATTAAGGCTGACTTACACGATTCTCTCTTCTCTCCCACAAATGACCATGGCAGAAGATGGAAGCAACCCCTAAAGTGCACTACTCGTAGAGGTCAAATTTTGATGCAAAATCCCCACACCACTTTCACTGTTATTATCATCATTAATTATTGACCAAGAACTAGAAAAGGGCGAAATTGAGTGAAAAGTAAGCCCAAAAAATACTGAAAAGCAAACCCAGAAAATCCTTCAACCTCTTCACTGCCACCATCGTCCCTAGCTCTAGCACTACCTTATACGCCGTCCCCGAAAGTCCCTTTCCCCAAAACCTCCGCCGAAGCCTTGAGCAAATCCTCCAAAATAAACGCCCTAGCCGCATTTCCAAAAAACACCAACTTCTTCGCTGCCCCACCACCGTTCACTTTCGCCTTGTTCCCCGTCGAAACTGCAACCACAACCGCTGCAGAGGCAAAATGAAGAAGAAGACGAGCAACATAAGAAACACGACCGATCCGATAACAATCCCCACAATGTCCACAACACCTTACAATCCTCTGTCTTCTCGGAACTCCTCCTAATC